GCAAAGACGTTACATCTTTTACAGATTATACATCTTGCGCAATTGTTGAATGTTTATCAGAAAAAAGATAATTCCAGAACAAAAAAATAACTTCGAATACCTATATACCTAAATGTAATCTTCGGTTTTTCCTAACCTTGGCAGCACCGAAATGACAATTACTTTCATGTGAAGTTTACAACAAATAAATAAATCCCAAATTTGTTAGATAAATAACACAATAAATCAATTTATGTATTCGTTAAAAACCCTGCCTATCGCTTGCTTAAAAATCAAATTATTTCGTGATAGATTACATTAACAAATATGGTTAAAATTTCCCAGAACTTATCAGTCGAGGATTAACAAAACACACTGGAAACTTATTTATTATTTGACCAAAATTCTGAGTCATACAACGCAAGTTATTGACTCCATATCATAACTTTATATTCTTTAAACAAGCTCAACATAATTTCCCACGTGTTTAAAACCTTTCGCATACATCATAGTAGTCGTTGCCTTCCCGGAACTGGAATATATTAAAAACAAAGGACGTTGAACACTGAACAAGCTTCTGTATTATCATTTCAATTAAAACAGTAAATTAAACAAACCGTAGTTTGATAGACAGAAGTCATAGTTTACAGAAACCCGATGTTTACCGGAAACCAACTAACACCAGTAGAGGACATTTAAATTTTAAATAGAATCGTGACCGATCGTCACGTTAATATAAAGGTTTCGTACATAAACGGCGTCAGTCATTGTCCATAACTCACATATTAAAAATACACGGTACACTGGAATATTTATAATGTTTTACAATTGATTTAAGCATATAATTTTAAATTTTGTTCTGTTTTGGGTTTTTGACAAATGTCAAGTAGAAACAGGGCGGTTAATAAATATGGAGAAGTATACATATAACGCGTCTGTATTGTTAAAAATTATTTTAAATTTGGTGAACGTTATGCAGAAGTAGGAAGGAAAAAACAAATTGTCCAATAAACAGCACCATTCGAAATGTCAATAAATTCGAAGAAACTGGTTCAATTCAAGATCAAAGAAGTAAAATTTACAGTCGTAATGGTCGTTCACAAGATAATGCAGCTGTCAATGAAGAAAGAAAATGTTTTTTTTAACAAAATCATATTTAGTGACGAGGCTCATTTTGAAATTTGTGGTTAAATAAATAAACAAACGCGATATCCAATTATGATTTTTATGGAATGAATTGAAACATATTAATGTGCAGAATATGTGGTTCTGCAATCGAATAATTTCTCGACGAGATGTTAATTGGCCACCAAAATCATACAATCTATCACCATTAGACTTCTTTTTACAGGGTTTTTTGAAGAGCAAACTTTATGCTGACTTAGCAAATCGCCCAAATTGGACCATCATTAGATGAACACGTGATGGAAAATTTTGCTAAAAAATTGAACGGTTGTAGAGGTGGTCACTTATCTGACATTCTTTTCCATTATTAACCGCAACATGTCTACTTTAACAAACTCGAATTTAAACACCCCATATCTTTATCAACTTCAAGCGAAAACGATCTGTCAATGTTTTTGATAAAACAATTTCTGAAGGTTATTCTTATGATAATAAATATATTCGGTAAAACCCTTTATATCTAAGATTTCAACAAAAATTTTCGTATTTTTCTAAAAAAAATTTCCAACGCAAATTTTTCTATAAATTTTGGACATCCTTGACTAATTTGATTTTGGAGACTATTTTTAAGGTTTTGTCAAGATACCTTACTGAATATTATTCAATATAATGTCCAAATCCTTTAAAAATAAATAACAATTTGGATTTTGTTTGAGAATTTAAAATATTTCACGCAAAAAGGTTATCACTTATAACCCTAGTTCTTGAATTATTTCCGGAAATTTTTTCGAAGGAACGCATTTTCTAGAAAAATGCGTGATTGAGGAAAAATTTCCGGACAATAATTCAAGGACGTGGGGGATTCGGTAAAAAAATTTTACAACCAAAATTTATTTAAAAAATTTGACATGTTTCATTTTGAAACTTATTTTGCCAAAATAAAGTTGGCTTGACAGGTAGACGTTGTTTTGTGGTGCATGACATATTTTTTTCTTCTTAAACGTCACATAATTTAATCGCATTTTTTAAATTCAAAAATGGCTCGTTTTGGAAGTGAAAATTCCGAAAACATAAAAACAACACGTTCCTTTCACTTTAGTAATAAATGAGACATTTAATTTTTGAATTCAAATATTTACCTTTGCAATACAATTCACTTAGTATTACTAAAATATAAGGAAAGTAAGTTTTTGTAGAAAAGCGATGTCTATGGCAGTTTATCAAATATTCTTTTTAAAACATAAAAAACACATTCCTTTCACTTTAGTAATAAAAAGGGCATTTAATTTTTAAATTCAAATATTTATCTTTGCAGTACAATTCACTTAGTATTACTATACTAATACGAGTAGAAGGAAAGTAAGTTTTTGTAGAAATGCGGTGTCTATGACAGTTTATTAATGATCCTTATTAAACATAAAAAACAGCACACATCATATTCACTTTGGTAATAAAAAAGGCATTTTATTTTTGAATTCAGATATTTATGTTTGCAGTATAATTCATTTAGTATTACTAAAATAGAAGGAGAGTAAGTTTTTGTGGAAAACCGATGTCTATGGCAATGATTCTTAAAAAATTATAACTGCAATCAAGTAGGCTTAGGCTTGTGATGTCAAAATCGTCTTCGCTATACGTCACGTTGACAGTCATTTTCTCTAGCTTCTAATTGTTTACAATTAAATCATGGCAGTGAAGAACCAAAAAACTAATTTAAAACTAAAACCTTATAGTATATGTAATTCTTGCACCAAAATAGGGACATTATTTGCCATATTTACTGAAAAAAACTGCAATCAGTCCGCAACTATTCAAAAGATTTTGGAGGAAGATATCCCATCTTTTTTACGTAAAACCAAGGCTCAGCAGAACAAAATTTCATCAAATTATTACATATATTTTATGAAACACAGACATCTGATGGAAATGAAAAATAATGGTAATAATTATGCTCCTCGTTACTCTCCGTTACGAAGAGAAGAGTTCCAGCCAGAATTTCAAAAACATTTAGCGTTAATAGAATAAATCTCGGAACAAATATTTGGTAAATAATTATTTGTATCTATTTATTATTTTAAAATAAATAAAAACATTACAAAGCGAAATTCTGGATATGTACTGATTTTTGAACCATATGATAGCTGTCAAAAAAAATTTCCACTTATTAATTTTGTTTGCCCAGCTTGGCAGGAGGAAAGAAATTTCCGAAAAATTTGAAGGTTGCCATGGGCAACTGTCGAAATTACAATATGTAATTGGCTTAAAATGACAGGTGTAAAATTTTCAAGAGAATAAAATGTTACAACTGAGCCCCTTGCATTTGTAACCAGATATTTTTTTAAAGAAATCTGTATGCATGGCAATAATATGACCGGCCTTAGTAGGTATCAGTTATAAGATCTAAATGAAAATGCGGAAAGAGAATTTTATTGCAACAAAAAAGTTTTATTGTGTGCCAGTGGTGCCAAGGGATTATAGAACAATATATTATTTTTTAAATACTTTTTTTTTTTTTGTAGTAATAGTTCCGAGAGAAATTATAAACGCGAGTATAAACCATTAGCTTCCAACTGATAATTTATGAACTATCTATCGAAGACCGAATTGCAGTTTTAAAAGTTGATAAAAGAGAAAAATGAAAGTCTTTTACAATCGTATACAATGTTGCAAGTAAAACCACTAGATTTATCGTTCTGATATTTCCCGTCACAAAGTACTAAATGAAAAATAATAAAAATTTAATTTTACGCAATCTAATAAGCGTGTGCACTTTTCAAAAGACTGTGGTTTACATAAACATATGCCGTAACGTAAACAAGCAAAAGCACTCATATTTACGCAATTTATGCCTAACAGATTATTTGTGAAAAAATAGATTTATATCACGGCTGGAATAAAATGTGACAGACCATTAATAATAGAAGTAATAACTCGTCTGCTTAACGATATGAAGCATCTGGAATTCCGAGTATTCGCCATTACTCACTGGAGACGTCAACGTGCATTTAAAAAATATTAAGTACCATTCCACTTTGCGTGTTTCTAATGATCGTTCAACAAAATACCCCGAAAATACACAAGCAGTGGATGACGTTAACGAATTTGCCACTTTAGATTAATAAAAGAATTTCGTTCCCCGACAAAATCTATAAAAAAGGATCATAATTTACAGCAGCGCAACAATAAATATCGTTAATTAAATATCTTTGAGGCGAAAATGATAAACCCGCTTTAATGACCCGTATATTAAAAATAGCATAAAATACCAATAAAACACATTTAACAGTCCTCTAATCCCCAAACGGCTATTCATTATAAGTGAGTGCTTTATGAATATTTCGCGGCAAAGTTATAATCTTTCTGTTTTTTTAGAGTTTTCAAGTTAAATCCTTCGAAAGTTGAATTTAGCGACTAGTGACTTTAATCCATTAAAATATATGTAAAATAATTCACCCCTTATACAGGGCCTCAGAACGAGCTCGTCACGTTGCCCACACACATCAAATCAATTTTTTTCACGATTAGACATACACTTCTGTTCTGGTGGAATGTCGGGGCGCGAATATAGACAAGGTTTTACGGTCTTTCCAGTTAAATACACACAATGAAACACAGCTATTACTTACCTGTATATAACAGCATATTATTATGCAAAATACGTCCTCATTGTATTGAAATGTATGCACATGGATATACGGTTATCTACACAACATATGCAAATTACTCATGCCTAAAATTTTTGGCGAATACTCTCGGTCTCACCGTATTTTTTTCCACTGAATCGCACGTATCCAAAGCACACTTGTTTTACCAGCACTTGGTTCATTTGTTTCACCACTACGCACTAGATCTGAATATGTACACTTTGGGGGTTGTTCAAAGAAATAAAACTACTATTCATTCTATAAAAACAGTAACACGTTTTATTCATATCTTATAAGCGTATTTTGACTATGACTAGCTGTACAGTATATATAGCAATATTTTATACATATTCACAATTTTTTTCGACATCGGCCGGGGTGATATAGTGGCCCCGACCGACCTGTTTTTCTAGTTTTATATATACAGTGATAGATATTTTCTTTGGTGTACGAAGTAGGTAGCCACAGAATGTATTAAGATTTCATTTTTTTTTGCTTCCAAAATGTCTCTCCGTCGAAAAACTTAGGGGCTCAAAGCTCTTTGAGTTCTGGGATACGATTCACACGAGTTCGCATATACAAAAATAAATTTTTGAAAGATTTAAAAAAGTAAATATATTCAGTTCTTTGTCGAGATTTTACCCTGAAGTCCCGTCTTTTGAGCCCGATAAGTTTTCTGGGTGTTTTTTTTTTCTCATTTGGTAAGTAAATCGTGTCTCCTTTACAGATTCGTATTAACTAGTACTAAATTTGACACTCTTTTGGAGATAAATGGCAACAACAGAATGCAAAGAACATTTACATTACACCAGATCGATAGCGATTCTTGTGATCCGATACGACTTGGGCTTATCCGGATCACGCCACGGCATTTTCCGAAAAAACGGGACAGTCTGAAGCTTTTTTTTTCTGCGAGAATTACGAGAAACAGTGACGTGATGCGCATAAGCCGAGTTACCTTGCCGTTTGCACAGAACTGAACAAGTTACACTCGAACTAAACTTAAAACATCATTGGAATGCTACTAAACATGTCTCCCTAACTGAAACTATACAAAACATAACGGTAACAAAAATATCTACACCTTCCTCTCGATATACAAACTAGATCGGTCAGTCAGTCGTCTTGGTTGACAGAATAATTTATCCCTTACAACAGAACTAAAATAAATTAACATTCTTCCAGTACGAAAACAGTTCTATGGGACAACTAAACTGAAATGAACGTTTTCCGACGGCACAGCGAGGCGCATCGCGGCTGAACCGTCCAAGTCTCTGCGACAGTCCCCCGAACAACGAAAATCAATCAATACCGCGATACAGAATCGAAATGAGATGTATTGTCTAATACCTATATCTTATATGACCCGTAAATATTCTGCCGTAGTAGATTCAAATATTAATTACAAATACCTAGCCTAATATCTAATGAAAGACGTAGGATATATGTATTTCAAGCATCTTACTAGTTCAATTACACAACAGCTGTTTTGGTAGAGGGAAATTATAAGACCTTAACACTAAATATACTTCAAGTTTACAAACAGTTAATAATTATGTTATATGATAACAGCTATGTTACTTTCAGAGCTTACTTTGCCGAAGTGTCGGTCTAACCACCACCGGTTTTTGTTTAAAAAAACGTTCCTCATCCACCTATTATCATAATACTAACCCACTGACGTTTTACACTTCGTATGTTAATTCGAAGATAGAAACTGGTTCCGAACGACCTACGGGCACAACGTTAATTAATTACACGGGATTTTTTAACAGGCCGTTCTTTCAAATGTCAATCAAATTTTAATTTGATACGCGAGATTCCAAAACCGCGTCTTTATCTAGTTAACGACTCGCATCCTAATTAGTTGTTATCTGGAGTGAGTAATTTGTTGATATTTACGATTTTATCGGTTATTCCATTATCCGGCACCGGAAAACAACCAGGAATTGCACTTATGCGGTAATATCGATCGCGAATATGCCAAAGTTAATTAAATTTGGATGCAGCCGATAATACATTTGGCATCAACGACTGGATTTGAACCCGAATGTGACACGAATAATATGGGACTTGGAAAAAAAACCACTCGAATTTTCATTTCGAATTATTGCGTCCAGTAAACCGATTTTTTTATAAAATTGAAACTAACTGAAGTGAAAAATAAACTGAATACTTTTTACGTTACTTTCGGTGTCAGATCCAAGTTTCGGAAGTGTGTGGAAATGTGCGGCCGGTGGTGAGTTAAAACTGGTGGAGTCTGGGCCCGCAAAATATCGTACGTCTACAATTTGGAGAAGCCCACTGATCTTTACCTGGCTAATTAATAATGATAATAACATATTATGTATGTATGATGCACGGATAGATTTAGAATTTACAATTAAAGCTTAGGAATGGTATTACGCGCTCGCCCGAAGCCTTGTCGCAGACACCTGGGCGACCAGCGCCCGCCGCGCGGGTCAGTCCATCGACACCATCACCAGCACAGCACTTGGAGGCGTCGTCGTCCAGCATCATCAGCGGGAGGTCGAAGAAGCCGCACAGACATAGCTGACCTATCGGGATCACTACCACCACGCCCGGAGCGGCGAGAGACATGCGCGCCGTCGGAGCCGTCGTCGACGTCGTCGTAGACACATAATTACACACTATTATCACAAGAAAGGTTAAGGAAACCACAGATGAGGCGAATGGGGCGGCGTCCGGAGCACATCACAGCGATCACACGTTGTAGCACACCTGCTGGATCTGGTGAGGAAACGTTGACGCCAGCGGGATCGCCGAGCTCACGTAGGGGTGCAGCCGGTGGGCCCTCAGGTACTGCCGGTACTTGCCGGAGAGGATGTGCTTCTCCTCGGGGCGGTCCGGCGACCGGTCCGGGTCCGTCCAGTGGCCGGAATCACTGCCCGACGACGAGCTGTAGGTCTGCTGGTCGCGCTTGCAGTAGGGCTGGGCGGCCGCCGTGGAAATGGGCACCAGGGGTGGCATTGGCTCCCACAGCTGTCTGTCGGTGACGGCGGCGGCCGCGGCCGCCGCGGCGTACTGCACGGGGTACTGGGCGGCCTGTTGGGGCACTTGCTGGGGCAGCTGCTGGCCGCGGGGCATCCTGCGCTTGGCTGCGGCGGCGACGGCGGGCCTGGCCGGCGGCAGGTTGTTGATGAAGGGGCTCCGCCGCTGGCTCTCGATCTTGCGGAAGTAGCAGGGGTGGATCATCAGCAGGGGCTCGTTGCGCACCCCCTGCGGGGGTTTGGCCGTGTTGGGCAGCTCGTACTCCACGCTGCAGTCGACGTGCAGCGGCCTGGAGTAGTCCTTCTGTGGCACGGCGGCAGGCACTTGCACTGTCCTCTGGGGAGGGGACAACTCGTACGCGGAATAGCACGTGGCCATCTTAGTTGACCGGAGATCGGTCCTCGACTGACTCGCTGAGCTGCGCTCCGACGTCGCCGCGGCTGCGAACCCTGACGCCTGGACGTGGTGGGGGTAGGAAATCGATGCTCCCGACATAGTGACTGTCTACTAGAACGTCTGCGGCCCGACTACGTCACGACGAACAACTGACGGGCTGAGCAGCGGCCGATGTTGCCTAGTCGCTGCATTCTACGCCAATTGTGCCGCACGATGGTCCGAATATCGTGATGTGGAAATGTCCCTGCACCCCCTGCACACACAGAAGCATACGTCATGTTATTCAGTGTCAATAGGTAGCAGATATTGAGGAATTAGACTAATATATTGGTTAAATTTAGCAATAAAGTTCTACAGTAAAGTTTTTCGAGTCCTAATGAATTCATGATTGTCCTGGCTATAGCATATTAACGAATTAATGAATAAACAGCCAAAACACTGCTTTGTTCTTTGGCGTTTAAGCAAATTTGGAGATCCCCACATTTCAAAAATGTGTTATTTTAGTTATATTCAATCTAAGTTACACTGTCGTATTATTTATTGGGGTACTTCTTCGCATGTAAATGATTTATTTCATGTATTTAGGCATTTTTATTTCTATTCACTGTAAATCTGCTTCATATGTAGGGAGCCACATATCAGATTGTTTTATACGTGTTGATACAAATCAATCCTCTGATTATAATCTTAGAGAATCATATTACTGATTGTTCTACGATTACAGTAGCAAATTATTAATGAATAGAATGTTGTCTCACCAAGAAAGTGTTACTTGTGTTACTTTTCCTTTTAATATAAATACTAAGTTTATTTTTTCACTCACTATGGCCTAAAAGAACTTAGCAACTGGTAGTCACTAAAAAGTAATCTGTAAAACACCTACAAAACTACAACTGTTGGACAATATATAAAATATTAATTACACACTCTTCTTATCAGCATATTATTCTTCTATATAAATATTTAACTTTATAGTACTTCAAAATACAACACATGACATTTAAGAAATATTTTGTTTTATGTTGTACAAATACCTACAATGTTTCGTGGGTAGATACAATAATAGTTCATAAATATTGATTTTTCAACAATATTTCAACAACATTTCACACCGAATTGCCTTCAAAGGTATTACTAAATAATTCAATATACTGTTTTAATATTAAAACTTGCATGACATAACGTAATTTTAATATTAAAATAGTTAAACATTGTCATCAATTAAGCGGATGGTAATAATAAACCAAAGTTTGTATTTACATATTCATACATCGGTTGAAGACTAAAATCAATAAAAAAAATACGCCTCGCTTCTTAAATATAATTTGACTTAATGCGCTAATAGTGCTTGCTAAACGTGTAAATATTAACGAAACCCATTTATAAATTTAAAATTTACATATTTCCTTGTACCCATCTATCAAACGAACTTTGACTTTCACGAGTTGTACACGTAAATTCCAGTTATTAGCTATTAAAGTATCAGGAATTTATTCGATTAATTGCTATTTTTACAACACTGCATGGTGTATCATAAATTCAAAGAGAATCACACTCGTAAAAATTTTACGTAAAATTACGCACTAGATCAGCGGTTCTTAACCTTTTATTTACCGTTTTGTTCTTTTGTTATTGCGGACCCCCAGATACTTAGATATAAGCCCCAGAAATTAAATGGGTTTGAAATCCTATTAATTTTAAATTACACACCAAACGTAAGTTTTGGAAAGATAAACAATAAGTTACACCCTAACATAAGACAATACAATTTCTTAATTGTTGTTATTACTGATTAAATGTTCAAAAAACTTGGCGGACACCTTGGGAAAAGATGGCGGACCAATAGGGGTACTAGATCATTGGTTGTCTTGACCCAGTGGGTAATGTAAAATTACATCATATACATAAAGTTATATTATGTATTAAGCATGTAATTTTAAATTTTTTGTGTAATTCACCCTAACGTAAATTTACATTATCAATAAATGTGCAATGCTGGACATAATTATAAGTTCACCCCTAATTTGAATGATTTTTTTAACATAACATAAAAGCAGTTTCGTTTCTATGTTTGATAAGGTATTTTCTTTATTTTCCTAAAATTTCATTCTCTATTGCAATATTTATCACAAAATTATGGCAGCTCAAAGAAAGATTGTGCATTTTAAGGCCTTGCAACTTGGACAAAATTATAAGTTCAGTAATTTAAAACAACAATTTAATTATTAAATCATGATACATTTTCCAAAAAAGGAACATTAATTTGTTCCCATAGTTACTTAGCCATACATAAATACAGGCCTGGTCGAACTAAACGTGGAAATGATAGAAATGTACACGCCCGAGCAAATGGCGCACAAACACAGCCGCATTGAGCGACCGGCCATAAATTTCAGTTGTTGACAAATTGCCTAGCAGTGCAGTGCGGCAATGAGGAATTATTTTATTGTTGATTATTTTTATTTAATAACTTTTCCTAACAACCTTTCCTCGTCCTTTCCTGGTAAGGAGATGTTCACACCACTCCGTTGGTTCTTGCCGAGCAGTAATATATTTTAATGAAAATGTAAATGTAAACATCTCCTTAATGTTAAAAATGCTGTCATCGCTGTTCTTGGTGGTGAAAATTCGAAATATTTGAAATTATTTAATTTTTGTGGCTGAAAACATACATAGGCATTGTCGAAACATTCGAGCATATACTCCTAAAGGCAGCTTTCTGTGCTGAGAAAGCGCGACTGGTGTGCGAGAGAGAAAGGAGAATAAAAGGACATGTTATCTCTCTCGCTCCGCGAGCTGATTGGTCGGGGCTTAGGTGCAGGACGGTCATTGGCATGGAGGGGAGTGCGCACCGACCAATCCAGCTCGTGGAGCGAGAGAGATAGCATGTCATTTTATTCTCCTTTCTCAAAAATGTTGTCACCGCCGTTCTTGGTGGTGAAAATTCGATATATTTGAATTATTTAATTTTTGTTGTTCAACTGACTTCAGAAAGACTTTCCGTCGTACATTTTTCGCACGAATATGCCCCAAACGTTTTCCATTGGGTATATGTCCGGCGAGCACGCTGGCCAATTTAGACTCCATTTTGCTGAAAGACGAATGATTCGTCACCATTTCCTGATACAACAAATTAACAAAGTCATTTGTCCATCCCTTTTTGAATTAAGAAAATATAGATAGATCTGTTGGAAATTAGGACTAATAAATAAAACTAGAGACGTCTGTTCAGCTCGGCGTTTATTGAGGAAGTGGTTTTTAGATGGGCTTATGATACATATTTCTACAGTTATCAATATACCTCTTTGAGAAAAGCATGGACCAAGCTCGGTCTTAATAAATAAACAGAAAGATAAAGTAAATACACTTAGATCGGTCCTATGAGTTTTAATTTTTGTTACTGTATATTTCTCATAATATTCACAAGATCACTTCATTTAATGAATAATTTTATAAAAATACCAGTTTTAGCGACACCACAAATGCGATGTTGCCTAAGGTCAACTTGAAATATATTTCAATAAATTTTATTTTCAATATCTATCAAACACTTCAAGATTGAAATCAATTTCAATGATTTTACAGCATAGAGCTGACTGACTTTTGACTTAATACTTTTATCAGTGTAGACTGTCGTTTGTCACCGCGCCGCCTTCCCACCCGGCGCGGCCGTACCGGAACTGCATCTACAGCGAATCGGCTGCTACGAGCCGGCAACGCCGCCCTCGATCGACCACATGCGTGGCTCGAAGGGACGCCGGCTCAATCACCGCCGTGCTCTAATTATTTACGAAGCGCACTTTACGACTACCCGGAGATGCTTAACTGTTGCGTCATAGGCGCCGCGTATGTGTGTGCATACTTACCGCCCCCTCCTCTCCCCCGCCGGTCCTCTGACGGACCTCGCTCGGCCTAATCGCCCCTTTCCCCCCCCCTCCTCCCCCGACGATTAATTAGTCGTTATTGGGATCACCTGCCAGCGCCGACTCGATTAATAACTCTAACTGTACGATGCGGCGCAAGGGCGACTTGATTTTAATCGTTTTTAACTCGTCTGCAGAAGAGCCGACTGGGCTGCGGCTAATTTGGATTTTTTTGATGCAGAGTATACATTGCGCTGAGTGCACTGAGGGATATCGACCAATAAAAAGTTTTACAGAGATAATCTGTATTACGAGTATAACAGCGATTTTTCTATATAGTCCAACCAAATTACACTTAGAGAAAAAAAAATTGTTACCTGGACTTTTATAAGTGGAAATGGTAAAGGGGCTTCTAATAAACGTAAAAAAAATTAATGCGTGAGCAGGGGCGGCGGAGGGTTGATTTGGGGGGTTGAAAAGGGGTGAAAAATGGTATCATTGAGATTTCTGGCGAAAGTTGATGTCAAACAAAAAAGTATCCAACAAAAAAGTTATAGATCATGAAAAAATCTACAACTCTTGTAGAGGGCACTTTTGAAGATAACCTCAAAATTTCCGAGAAAAATGCGAAAAACAGGTTTTTTCCTTATTTTTCGTTTTTTATTTCTCATTTCAGCAAAAATAATTTAATTTTGACGAAACTTGGTGAAAGTATACTTTCCTGTGTCTAAAATAACCACAATTTTTTTTAGATAAAAAAATCAAGAAGTTTCCGAGATATTCATATTTTCCGGTCTGAAACACTTTTTTTTCAAAGAAAAATTCTACTTAAAAAAATCATCGTACAGAGTTCTGCCGGTAATCATTTTTTTCGTTTTGACATATACTTTTTGGTGAAATAAAAAAAATTGGAATCGCAGTTCAAAAACATGCTCAAAAATGCAAAAAAGAAAAATGACTCTTGCAGAAATGAGTTTTTCAGTAATTATTGTTGATAGTTTGTTTAAATTTAAAGAAAATTCAAAAACTGATTACACCATTCGATTGTACGGAAAAAATACAAAAGAAACTGTGTCTCATTGTTTGACCCGAAATTTTATTTTTGTACAGTATTGCTATAAACATAATATTTTTTTTCGTAGGATCGATTAATGTACTTATTTTTTTTAACTTTGAATTGAATTCATAGATGTATAAGCGACTCTTTAATTAAATTATGTAAAATTCAGATTTTTGCTTTCAAAATTTAAAAAA